CCATATTGCACTAGCTGTTCTTTCTGTATATTCAAAAAGAGAAAACATCATTTAATGTGGGTTACAAGGGGCACAAGACACTCTTGAGCTTAAGTCATGATCAATATCTCAGTCTGCAGAGGCTTTCCACTTCAACCATAGCAATTCTCAATGTTACTGTATTTTAAAAATGTCTTTCTAAGGTCCTGTATGAATTATTGAGGTATTGTGACATTGATAATGATATCTTTCATCATTAGTCCTCTTTCTTTGACTTTTCTTGAAATGCAAACTTATATACAGTAGCCTTGCATCAGGCTCAAGACACTGTTAGCCACATCACAAGTGATGGCTCAGCCATCAAAGGTAAATAACACCAATTAATATACTGTGGTGATAGAAAACTTCAATTGCATCAACAGCTCTTGTTTCTATATGCTCAGAAGGAAGGAATTGAAGTGAATAGCAGTGAAATGTGGAGACCTATTGCTCAATACAGTGGTTTGAACCACTTTGAAGCCCATTGTGTGCCTTGGTTTTGATTCACTTTCAAGCCATTGAATACAATGGTTTGAATGACTTTGAAGCCATCAGCCCTTAAGGCATTAACCCTAGCAAATTCAGTGCTGTGATTGGCTCTGAATATTTGCATCTGTTTAGATCAGCCACATCGTGCAGATTCAAACTCTGGTTTGTATGCCCATTACAAAGGATAACAAATCCAAGTAAGAACAAAATGTAACACAGTAAGAAACTTTTGAAGGAAGGACCCTCTCCTAACCTCAGGACAGGGGCAGAAAATGAAACCACTTGGTAATGGTCCACTCTCCCACGCATTGCTTAAATGTTTCACAGAGATGGGAAAAATGCAACATAGATGTCCTAAGTGCTCAGTGTCACTGTCACAAAGCACAAAGCACTTAACCCAATTAAGGGCAAGTTTGCTTGTGTGACCTGCACAAATGATTCACATAAAAGGTTGCCCTAAGGCTAACCTGGAAAAGCCTGCCACAAGGGCTAGGCTGAGGATGGTGCACAGTGGCATACAACCAGCAATCAAGGCAAAGCCCCAATGCATGGCCTTGCATAAAAGGTGAAAGGGGGAAGCTGGCCTGCTGGCTTCATACAATAGTATAATACAGTGACCCACAAAACTGTTGATAAGATTGCTTACTTCACCTTGTATAGTGAATATCTCCTCAACCAATGGGTCAACTACATTGTATAAGAACTCATTGAAAAGCATATTATCATGGCTTTCTAACGCAGTCTTAATCATATTTTTACCATATTTTGATCCCAAGATATTTACTAATCTTTGAGGGTCACTCTTATCAACAGTTTTGTGGCACACACACAAGTTCTCAGAAAATTGTGATTCTTGATGTGTTGACAGCGTTCTTTGTGGAAATATTGATTGATGTTCATGTTTCAACATGAACAATGTACAAACAGCCATACACAACTCTTCACACTCAACCAACATCATGCCAAAAGCTGTTGCTACTGAAACTGTCAACCATGTCATCGCTTTGCTTCAGAATGGCAAATCTCTTCAAGAAATTGAAGCTTTGACTGGTCTACACTACTCTACCATCAGTAAACTACACTCCACACACTGTCTCACAATTTCTAAGGCCAAAGGAGGACGACCTTCCCTTCTTTCTACTGCCAATCTTCGCTATGCTACTCGACTTATTGAGACTGGCAAGGCTACCACATCTCCTGCTGTGGCCAGAGCTCTTGGAGATGTTACTGGGAGGGTTGTCAATGCAGAGACAGTGCAAAGAGGGTTGAAGAAGGCAGGAATGAAGGCTGTAGTAAAGCGCAAAAGGCCTTTACTCACTGCAAGGCATCGAAAGGAGAGGATGGACTTCACTTTGGCTCACCAATATTGGACTATGGAGGACTGGAGAAGGGTGGTATGGTCAGATGAGACAAAGATTAACAGGATGGGATCAGATGGAAGGAAATGGGTGTGGAAGAAGCCAGGGGAGAGCCTCAGTGATAGGTTGGTGGAAGGGATCCAGAAGTTTGGAGGTGGATCGTTGATGATGTGGGGCTGTATGGGCTGGGATGGTGTGGGGTATGCCTGCAAGATTGATGGCAGGATGGATGCAGACCTTTATGTCAGCATTCTGGAGGATGAGTTGCAGAATAGCCTGGAGGATTGGGGCAAAACTGTGGAGGATGTGGTGTTTCAGCAAGACAATGACCCCAAGCACACCAGCAAGAAGGCCAAGGATTGGTTCAAAGACCATGATTTCAACACTATGATATGGCCCTCTCAATCCCCAGATCTCAATCCCATAGAGCATCTGTGGTTCATCTCAAAAGGAAGCTTGCAGAGTATCAGGAGCCATCAAAGGGAATCACTGAGTTGTGAAAAAGGGTGGAGAAGGAATGGGAGGCTATTGGGAAGGAAGTGTGTCAGAATCTGATTGAAAGTATGCCAAGGAGGGTGCATGCAGTGGTGAAGGCAAAGGGAGGCTATACCAAGTACTGAAAGTACAAGTTTTGTAGAACCTGGATATGTGCCACAAAACTGTTGATAAGAGTGACCCTCAAAGATTAGTAAATATCTTGGGATCAAAATATGGTGAAAATGTGATTAAGACTCCATTAGAAAGCCATGATGATACGCTTTCCAATGAGTTCTCATACAATGTAGTTGACCCATTGGTTGAGGAGATATTCACTATACAAGTCGAAGTGAGCAATCTTATCAACAGTTTTGTGGGTCACTGTATGTGGTGATATTGTGCTATTTGTCCAAGTATCCACTTTGTGAGACCAATATAAAGGTTGGTGTCTGGGTAACCACTTAGAGTTGTCAAATAAGGAGTTAGTGATGCGAAAATAACATTGTCATGTCAAATACTGCGACAAAAAGCATCATATAAAATAAACTTTTAAATACTTTTAATAAGCTTAAATTAAAAATATGACAATAAGGGTTTGCATTTTCTCTCTAAGTTATCTACCATCTTTGATAAGTAGGTATTGAAATTCTCTCCCAGTGTACTCAATCACCCCTTCTGTCTCTCTGCATTTAGAAGCCACAGTCCGTTTTCTGCTAGAGCCCCTTTCAGATGCTGGAAAGCTTCACCTTTACGATTCATGGAATGGTGGCCTTCAGTTGCCATCAATATATGAGCGGCCATGTGCAGTCTGTGCTACGTTGATGCCTGACCATTTCGTGTCATACTTTCCCCTTGGACGACAACCTGCTCGAGTTTTGGCGATTGTCTGATGCTTCATGCAGGTGAAACTGTACCATGGTCATTAAAGGCCCTCTCACCTTACCAGATAATACATCCTAGTTATTTGGAACCAGTGCCACTGCATCAACTTCACCCACACCTCAGACATGGTGCCATTTTTTTTACAGTAAATATGCATGCTAAATGTGGTTTGGTATTTTACCTTTAGAGAACAGATTTGTTTCTATTGCATGCAGTATTGTATATTGCAAATTTAGCATTCAAATTGCAATGGTGACAAAGTAATGTCATATATTATATCCATGTTTCATGTACAAATTGCAAATTTTGCCCACAAAATGTGACACTGCATCAAATGTGTCTCTACATCACAGCAAAGAAAGTACCAATTCTCATTGCAGAAAAGGTGTTAGAATTTAATTTAATAATCTGGCCTTCCCCATCAAGGGAATGTTTTTAGGGAAAGGCTTAGAAAAGGCACATTCTGCACCTTTCCTGGGCAAGAACTTGCATGAAACAGCCATAAATGATAAGATGCTGCAGCAGGGGAAAGTAAAAGATAAACCATTATTTTTTCACACCTTTCTCGCTGTAGGAATCGGTACTTTCTTTGCAGTGCATGCTATTACTTGAGGGGTGAAAGACTATTTTGTGATGAATCTGCTATGTTGCATTATCTCATGCACATTATTTTGAATCCCTGCCAGAGATGTAGGTAAAATATATGATGTCAATTTGTCACTATAGCAAGTCAAGTGCCAAACTTGAAATATATCATGCCAAATGCAACAGATGCAAAATACATATTCTAAATAGAAAATACCAAATCAGATATAGCACACATATATAACTGTTCCAAATGACAAATTTGGCTATTGATGTACGGAGAAGGCCTGTGCTTATGTGATCCCTAAGTTGCGATTTGGCCCGTTTTGTGCACAGTTCATACGAAATATTGCTTTGGTTCATACAGAATATTTTCTCCTACGAAATATTATTTTCATTCCACAACTTGCCCTCATTCGCGATATCTGGCTCCTCAGGCCTCATTGCTTTCTACCTCCTGTCTGCTCTGTGCTGGACATCCTCATATCACTTTCCATGTCGTTCACCAGGTGTATTATTAACGCATTTGATATCTGCTTCACCGGTACGTTTGTCCACTCCTCTGTGGCGATGTCTGCAGCGCTGATTATATTGTGTCTCCTTCCTTCACAGTCATCGCTCTCGTTGTGTACTATACCTGTTTGTTCTTGTTCATTCCTCTGCTGCCACCTCTGCCGTCTTTGGTGAACGGGTTACATGATTCACATATTCATTATGCTCGTGTCTATAGCACCCTCCTGGTGGGGGGTGACAATTTTAAGCTTGTGCAGTCGCATCGCATTACGGACCTGGCTACTCCTCCGGTGAGGGAAGCCAATTGAAGATCTTGCATCTGTCTTTCTGACGATGTCAGCGGGTTCTCTGTCATCTTCAGTTCGTCATATTTGCTTTCTATTCATGCAACTGTTATGTTCATCGGTTTGCATCGTCTCCGAGGACACCGATGACTTTCGCGCCATGATGCGTGACACCGGCACCATACTGTCCGGTTCTGCTGCTGTCAGACTGTTACTTGTCGACGCTTTGTGGCAGCCTAATGACTATGACCTATACACGCCACATAGTCAGTGAGATGTGGTACTCGACTACATCAGCAACTTACCGAGTTTCGTGATCGAATATGTTATAGATGCATCGGACGAGGAGAATCAGGAGCAACCGTATCCCTGGTTGAAATAGAGAATGGACCATATGGCTCGAATCACTGGACCAAACATCCCCGTCGATCTTATGTGTAGCCACAACGAATCGGCCTTCTACCCACTATGCTTCTTCTGGTCGACCATCATCATGAACGTGATCTCCGCTGACGCGATCGTGTCAGCATACCCCACACATCTTCTCAGCCATCATGGTATTTGCTCATACACCATCAGTGATTATCAGTAAGGCACTCACCGCAAGGAGAAAGTACGAAGACCAAGGTTTCTCGTTCGACGACATCCGCACCATGTCCTGCACTCACTGGAGCTGCCCTCACCGGTGACGGTTCTTCTCAGATGATGGATGCCTCAACCTCATTTTCGACAATGCACGCACCCACACAGTCAGCGATGTTTTCATCTCGTGGCAGATCAGAGACTTACCCTGCAGTAGGCCATGTACAGCAACAGAACAAGGGCCCAACGTCTGGGCGGGGTCTCGAGATGACATGGAAGAAGTCTGGGACAGCTTCCCGTAGCTGCAACGTGTATTCATCATTTTACGACAATGCTCGAAGTCGTTCATTTCTTTAAGTGATTCATCCTATTTGGCTCTTGCCTGCGTTGTTGCTGTTCACCAACATGAGGCTGCAGAGATGTAATATAGAGCTACGTTCGCATAAGTGATACACACCGCATCTTCCGCTACTGTGATTGAGTTTTCGTGTCATTTGGAACCGGCGCCCGGCGCCTCTTCAACCAAGTAGAAAATGGTACCATGTCTGGGGTGCCAAGTGACCGCATCACGCGATCCTGCGCGATGCGCGGCGGCGGTGCCACCTTATCATGTGATGAGTAAGAGGTGTGATGCTCGACGAGGCGGAGAGGCCTCCGAAACATCCTCCTTACCCCTGGAACCCGGTGTTACTCCGAAAAGATCAGCATCAGGGCGTGGGCCTAGCAGCTACACCAAGATCGGCCATGCCTGCTGCTTCCCGTTCGCCCCGACGTAGGCACATGAGAAGGCATTTTACCGTGTTAAGCGATGCAAAGCGTTCGACGAAAACATTGGCGCACACTAGCTCTAGCACATTCGCGCAGAATCACGATGGAACATCACTGACGACGGATGAGGAGTTAGACCGAACTCCTGGCCGTAGCAGCGAGGGATCTAGCGGATACCATAAATCTCCTGATTTGACAGATGACGAGTCCATAGTCCTGGCAGGCTCGCATCGGGTGTTCTCTAGTAAGCCTCCGCTGGCCTATGCGTCACTTCCTCCTACGCCTATTTCTCCTTCACCTCCGTCTCTCCTGCGACGAACGCCTGTCCTGTCGTTCCCCGCTCTGCCAACGTATCCATCTACAGAGATACATCATGAGCCTCCTTTTTCAATATGGGATTACCTTCAAGAAGAACTGTTGGCGACGGACTTTGACTCGCATCAGGAGCTGAAGTGGGAGAGAGTCAGCAATTTCTTGCACATGCCGATTGCGTTGGAGAAGGTGAGCAAGAGCGGGTATAGTGTCTGAGGAGCTCACGATGCCCACCTGAGCGAGCAGATATTCTTCTTTGGTTTCATCGTCTGCCTAGACTCATTTCTATACACGTTCACCATTCTGCCAATACGGTTTACCCTCGCCTTTCGGCGCCTCCTATTGGTCCTGCTTCGTCGCGGAAGGACTACTTTCCCTCCATCTCAAAAAGCGGATATACTCAAAATGTTATTGCTGTTTGTATCAGTCTTCACCTTGAGTCCACTCACGGATGCTAGCAAAATGTATCATTTCATCCGTGGGCAAGATACTATCAAACTGTATGTCATCTTCAATGCGCTTGAGGTGCGCTGCCTAGTAGTGAGAACACACTCCATTTCTTGCTGACGTTGACTGCATCGAATCCCTAGATCGCAGATCGCCTCTGCGCCTCTATTGGGCAAGATATTGTTGATTGTCTTCTCTCGCGGTCAACCCTTGAGGTGCTCTCGACACAGCAGCGGTGGACGCTATCACTTTTGCGTCCAGCACTCTTCTTTTCTCTCGCTCTCGTTTACAATGGTAGTTCACACGTATCTTAAGCATTTGCGCTGTTGATTCATATAGTTCAACAGTTGCACACACTCTGGTTATGCTATATCAAATGATCTCCTTGAACGTGGCGGTCAACTCCTATGATCATGCTTTATTGACATTGTTGGTGTCGAATCAATTTGTTGAGATCAAGGGTAGCGTTTTCAAGAAATTTGAGAAGGATAATCTCTTCCAAATCACTTGTGCTGGTATGGAGAACGCTGGCAGCCTTCAAGACTTCTGCTTACATTTTGATGGTGATTGTTAGATATCGTGGAACGTTTCACACTAGCATTGATGTTGTGCGTGGTAGCGTTCCGTAATCTCATCGAATTGAGTGGCTCGCCCTTCAATCTTAGCGACGGATCCGCTCTCCCACGGAGTTTTGGATGGTTCCGAGGTAATAATGTCCTATGGACGATTTCATACGTGAGTGCCCATATCAGCGCGTACTGCGATACAACTGCTTCAATTCGATCTATAGCCTGTCATCACAGTCATGGCATCCGAGATGGTGGTAGACTGGCTCAAGCATGCTTTCATTACGAAATTCAATCATATCCGCCCATCAGTATATGAACGCTACACTGACGTCCTATGTCGCGACCTCGCGAGCGGCCGTGCCGTAGGTCGCCGCGGAGCTGCGAAGGCAGGTCTCTCGTTTAGTTACCATCAAGCCGATCTGACGTGCTTGAGATGCTACAGCATACCTACGTCGATCAGTCTCCGCTAGTTGCTCGACGTCTCGGTTTCGCTTCTCTTCCACTAGCTGTGCTCGCCATTTTAATCGGATCCCAGTCGATCAGTCTTCTGCTCTCGATGCACACGGATGGCGACATGCCTTGGATATGGAGACGCTCCTTCTCGGAGATCTCAAGTGATGAATGGATTAACTCTGCCAAATGGGTGGCAATATCTGCACTTTTGTGGTTCTGGTCTGTCTTGATACGCTTCTTTTGTGCGCTGATGTTGATGGTCGTTCACTAGCTGCGTAGTCATCAAGGTTATTATGGGAATGCATCTCCTAGGCTATGCCACAAGGCGCAGAGCGGGAATGGCGGCTCGTGAGGCCGCAGATACGGTGAATGACTTCGGGAGAGAACCCATAGGAGAGGGAAAGGAAGAACAGGTCTGTGTTTTTTTTATTGCAAGTGACTGAGGCACAGTGGCAAACAGTATGCTTAGATGTACAATCGCGAACTCAAGACGATGCTCGATGACAGACGGGACGATGCGTCGCCTGTGCCCGATATGGGGGAACGGAAGACTGGGACGGAGTCCGCACCAGCGGAAAGCAAGCGTAAAAGGCTTCCTTTAGAAGACATCACCAGGTTCACGATGGTCAAGCGCATCTGGTGATCTCAGAATCCTGCACGAAGCCCAGCACGACTACATCTATCCTTGATCGCATGATTTACGTTGCAGGCCTTGAAGCGCGCGTCATCTGATACATCCCTGCGCAGGCTAGCTTTGCTGCATCCTCAGTCATCGGAATCTCCTTACTAGCAGTGCTAGGAGGCCGCGTTCGCATACACTCCACCCCCCCTCACTCGATCCTCTGCAGCTTCATCGACTCGTCATTTGACGTTAATATGCAGTGTTCATGTCACTTGCGCAGCACAAGACTATAAATGCAATAACATTGCAAGCTTAGGTACAGTAGTATGGCTAACAGGGAGTAGCTAGCGTGACACATGTACAACAGTACTAGGCGACGCGCATACTAACGATAGTATGTGGGACATGAACAACATCGTGCGGCTACGCGCATAGCGCAGTAGCAAAACATAATGGCGAAAGTCAAAAGCATTTCAGGCCGAAGAATTCCGAACGTCAGGTGGGCATCAATACATAAGTCATAAGGAGACGCGGACGCGTCAGGCATAACGATAATGATAGCGCTGTGATGGGTATCGCGAGCATCGGCTAAGATCGCAGCGCAGACCGAATGGCCCTGCTATCCAACCTGTGGTAGCTGTACTCGACGTAGGGCCGCGCCTGCGCATCGGGCTTCTCCCGTTCCTTTCGTGTCTCGTCGTGATAACGGTACCCTCCTGTCTTCGTGGCCGGCTTCGCGGCGTACTTTTCGTGGCGTGCGCGTGGAGCCGGCGGGTTGCTGGCATAGTGTGGTCCGTCAGGCATAATAACAACTTCCTCCGTGGCACACGACAGCAAGGAGCCCCTGCTTGAGGGAGTCATACTGACGCGCTGCTTCGCAGGCTTGCACTTGACGTCGAGCCCATATTCCGAGGACCGCTCTTGAGGGAGTCGGATGGAATTTAAGATGGCCTGAATATCAATATCGGGCAGTGGGAACGGCGACGGCTTTGACGGAGCCGGAGAACGATACAGGGAATGTTCAGAGTAGACAGAGGGCGACTCGAGGCTCTTCTCATCCACGTCTTGCGGGAAGTCGAGAAGCGATGTCACCACGATGTTGCTCAACTGTGGGCGACGACGAGTACTGCTGGACAGCGAAGCTTGCGACGATGCAGCTTCTGAGCTGTAGAGCGAACGGCCATCCTTCTTCGCAGACAGCTTGCTACTGAACGACGTCTGCGACGACGCTGCTTCTGAACTGTACAGCGGACGGCTCCCCTTCTTTGCAGATGGCTGGGCATTGCGACGCTGAGACGTAGCGCTTGCGGCCTCTTCATTCCGACGACTTGACGATACGGCGGTCTTGGAGGAGATTTCGCCATGGACGCCTCGGAGAGACTCGCAACTACCCGTCCTGGCCGATCCAGCGTCACGAAGATGAGAGCGCGATGTCGGCGCATTATTCAAAGGTCCACTGAGAGTTCCAACAGAGGGAGCGGGACGAGTAGACTCCACAACGCGCAGCGCGTGTGCGGACCTCGATTCAACCGTCCTGGAAGCACCATCCGTTTTTCTGGAGCTATGGCTCGACACGTCGGACGAGCTGCTGTGCTGACGGTGGAAGCTAGAGGCCGACGACAGCGCGGGAGCAGACTGTGGGAGAGTCGCGTTGGATGATTTTTTGCGAATCACGAGTGGCCGGGCGCTCTGTGAAGCGTCAGCATTTGAGTTTTGGCGATGAACACGATGCGGATCTGGCTTGTGACGTGTGTCCACACCCTGCGTATGCCGCTCATGTTTCCCATTATCCTTCGCTCGCTGATCTTCGCCCACGGGCTGCTGAGGGCGTGTCTTGGTCTCGCCAGTCTTAATATGAGCGTCCTTCGCACGTTCGTGGAGATCTTGCGCGGTATATGCGCACATCCTAAGCGGCGTGGACGGTCTCGAGGGATACTGCCTCCTGTCCACACCGTGCACAGAAGCACTATGTGGCGATGGCTGCAGGGCCCGCGCCATCGCCATGTCGTGTGAGATGCTCTGCTCACTTGGGGAGCGCGAGCCGGGCTGCGGGCGGATCTTCGGCGACGTACGCCCCTGCTTCGATTCCATGCTACCTGCCGACGCAGCCTTGGTGGGCACAGGCAGGAATGGGTTGAAACGCTGGGTTGTAGGCGGCTCGTATACGAGGTGCTCTTCGCTCTTGGAATAGCCATACGCGTCCTCGTGAATCCTCCGTTGCTTCGGAGGCATGTACACTGTCTGCTCGGCCACGCGCTGCGTGCCTTGCATCACCGCGTTCGCCGACCGAGGCATCGCCGCATCTCCATGAGGCTCTCTGTCCACAGGGCTCACCGATGGGCTTGTCAGGCTGCGCTGCAAGAACGGCTTGTAACCCGGCTGCACGTTCACTGGGCGCAATTGGGACAAGGTCATGTGCGGGTCGCTCGCGGAGCGATGTGCCGCAGCGTCAAGCTGGTCCTGGCTCGACGAGTGGTGCACAGGCGGGTTGTACACGCGTAGGGGCTCTCTAGTCCCGCTGGAGAGTCCTTGCGCTTGTTCCTTGTCGAATTTTGGGGTGACCGCTGCCAGCGGAGGGCGGCGCAGAGGAAGGGAGGGCAACGGCTTGGCGTCGTAATCGCGTGAGTGCGAGGTGCGGCCCTGCTGATGCGTCTTCTGGGCTGCGGACACCTGATGGTGCCTTGAGGTTGCGTGCGTGTGCGCGTCGTTGGGCCAGAGTGGCTTGACGGCGCGCTCTCTGCCCGCCCGGTCTGACTCGATAAGTTGTCTGACCTCGGGTGTGGGCGGAGGGAGAAGGTCATCATCCGATGCCCACTGTACGTATGTCGTCGAATCCACTTGCAGCACAGGCCCGCTGATGTCGCGTTTGTGGATCGGCCTGCCGCCGTGGGACCTGGGCCGCCGCGGGCGGTGGACGGTACTTGTCTGGACAGATGCGGAGCGAGAGCGTTGCAATGTAGGTTTCTGCTCCTCCGCGCCGTTGACGAAAGGCCTGCGAGTATCACATGAGTAAACGACATGCTGATGGCGGAGGAGGACGAAGAGACTTGCCTGACCAACGAGGAAGAGAGCTTGCGTATGCGCTCCATAGCTGATCAGATCGACGCGCAAGCCGGGAACCGGAGCACGACACGCCCGGCGCGGAGGGGTGGAGAGGGGAGGGAGAGGGAGGGGGTCTCGCACAGGGAAGGGAGGGGGGGTATAAGCGGAAAAAACCGTACGGTTTCGGATGCAGCCCCTTTTGTAGGCGAGAGGCGAGCAGGCCACTCGTAGCGTGAAACGTTGCATGAAGTGGCCATGAATACACGCTGCGGCAAAACAATGCGGAGTTGGAGAATTGGACCTGGTAATCAGATTTTGTGTGGAAAAGGCCCTGAGCTTCCGGCATTGTTTATCTGATGCAGGAAGCGATTCTCTCGCTTACCGACGTCCGTTCCTGTTTGAGTCAGAACTTTTTTCTGACCGGACGTCCCCATACCAACGTACGTACGGCGGCCTGGTGAGGACCACTGTGGCACGAAATAGGCATCGTGAGGGGTAAAAGTGTCGATTGTAGCGCGGAAATGAGGAGGAATGAGTGAGAAATTGCCGGCAGTGTCGCGGGGTTGCTGGCTGCCGTGAAGAGCCGTAATGAGTGCCTGCTGGCAAAGAGCATGGCGTCGGCAAAGAAGGCCTTCGCTTGAGTTCTTGGAGATGGATCTCTGGGATCCTGCCAGTTATGAGCGCTTGCACGGGATTCGTCGAGCGCATGCTGGCATCCACGACCCTGTTGCAGCGTGTTTTATGAATGGGCCGCGTCATGACGAACATCATTTGTATCCCCGTCGTCGGAATCGCCCTGCTAAGATGGGAACGCAACAGTTCCGCAAGCACATCTTTGATGGGTCGACATCATCAACCGAGGCATTTTCTGCGACCGCGCGGGCCCGCTTGTCGCGGAAGCAGGAACGATGATGAATTTTTGGACCGAAGGTCGCTGGACGATAAGGAAGACGAGCTCTGCAGCAGGAGGGAGCGGAGAAGGATTCGGCGTGAGCGCAGACCGCGTGCGGGGGGCGTGGCGATTACGCGCGGGCTTAGCACGGCTCTGCCTTGTTCTGCGTCGGTCTAGGCTTCACGGACGTCGCAGCGAGTGCTGTGCTGGACGATGCTCCCGCTGCGCTGGCTGCATGTTCGCAGCGGGAAATGCATATATGCACCGCCAACGAATATTTAGTTTGGCCTAGAGAATGCTATCGATGATGTAATCAGAGTGGCACCGAGAAACGTCATGCGCAAGATATTGTCCGCCACCATACAGCCCCCTGGGGCCGTCGACGCTATTCTTCTCCTCCATCTCGTCGTTTCAACGCCCCAAGTCGTCCGAAACATCGAGGCCGCCGCTCTGGCTATAATCCCGTAAATCACGACAAGTCTAACGATCAACAAACCGCCATGGCTGCCAGTGCTGCACTTCCAGGCCTCTTTTTCACCTTCGCAGCGATGGTGCTGCTTATCTTCGTGCGCGCAGCCTTATAGACGATTCATCGCGTGCACTGACGCATTTATGCAGGCCTCCGTTTCAACACCGACATGGAACGCAGTCTCATTCCTCAATACCAACGTTGATGGGGTGTCAACGCACTTCGGTGTGTTTGGCTACACAGGATCAAACACCTCCGTCGGATGGTATTTCCCAACCGGAATAGCGTGCGTACTTTTTTTCTCTCTCCGCATCAACGCTAAACTACCTGCAGTGACAGCGAACTGAACAACGGCCTCTTTCACAACCTCACCATCGCTCTCATCCTCGTCCCAATAGGTATGTCCTTCCCATCCGCTCCACTCCGCCTCTCTCACTCCACGCACAGCCGCCGGCCTTTCAGGCCTTGCCTTCCTCTTCGGGCTGTGCGGCGCAAGCTACCACCGCGTCGGGACCGTCTTCATGTCGCTCGTCTCCGCGCTCGCCTGCCTCGTCACGCTCGTCGTCTGGATCATCGAGATGTCTCTATTCGGCATCGCGCGCAACCACGTCCGCGAACGCGGCGGCTATGCGCAGTACGCCAATGCCAACTGGCTCGTCCTTGGCGCCCTAATTGCACTTTTCCTCGGCTTCTTTGCCAGCCTCTGCGGTATTTTTGGCAGCTACCGCTCAAAGCGTGCCGCGTATTGAATGCGTACATTCCTATACCAAATGATGTGCGGACTATCATACAAGGATGTAGATCTGCCTTTCGGACAGCTACTTTATCACCGTCGCCTTATTATCTGCTGGACTATTACTCGCTTACTTTGGATGCGCACTTCACGAACTACTCGTATACGCCCTCCATCGATAGTCCTTTCCGATCCTGATTCGTTTTTGAAAACTCTCTACAGAGCCACGATACCATACGTTCGTGCCATACCTGTGCAATGACCTTGCTAACGACAGTTCTGTTACTTCATTGCTCCCTTCGCTCTACGCCCAGTTGAATGCCGCTGTATTGCCTACCTTGCTCCTCCTCTTGTTGTAACGTTATCCATCTGTATGATTTATATGATTCTCCGATTCGATCCGTCTGACAATCCTCCGCCCACATCACGCAGAAGAGAACAAGCGCATGTTCCCTTTTAGTATGATCTGCTGACGATCCTGGGTCCAGCTATCAGTACGTACTCAGTGATTAGCCTCAGAAGAAGCAGCGCGAGATCCCCCTTGATCATGCCTTATCGAGGATGCTGAGACATCCGTGCGCACAGCACCTCCCGCGATATCGTATAGAAGGGATGACAATAAGGATACCCCGATCGATTCTACTCATACAGATCAAGAACACAGCAGGCCAGAAAGAGGCAACAATTAATACATAGCGTGATGAAAAACGTACACGTCCCGGCATTCCTTGCCTCACTGAGCTTGCGCCTCCTGTCACGATCAAAGCCTGATGCATGAGCTCGACAAACGTAAAGCAAAATGCGAACACTTGCCTGGTCTACAAACTCCATTGCCTCCTCGCGCCTGATGCTCCGGATGGAGCTCACCTTCTGGTTGTCGAACAGCACGCCATAAAATTTGTCCGCCGTGACGAGCATTTCGGGGCGGAACGTCGTCGTGATGAACTGCGCTGTCGCAGCGAGCTCGTGGATCATTGCTGCCGAACCCAATTAATCAGCGCATTGTGAAGGTGGGAACGCAAAGACAAACATGCGACGGCCGTCCGGTACTGCGCATCCAGGTTCGCGTCAATCTGTGGGACGTCAGCTAGCATGCCATCACGGAGCGACGAGCAGGTGCACCTCATCAAACAAATAGAATGGTGCCGGATCACACTTCTGGATCGCGAAGACTGCGCGAACACGTCAGCAATTCTCCGTGCGGCACGGTGAAACGTACCTGTTGCGAGGGCAACGAGCGATTTTTGCCCACCAGACAGCTGCTGGATACGCAGTCCCTCGTCGACCTTCGAATTAAACGACACCTGTCGGCCAGTGTCAGCAATGCACTCGCAGTGTCGCGAACAGGTACCGCCGAGCAGACGGAACGTGTACGTACTCTGATTGACACCCCGGTATAGTTGTCGATTGAGCTCTGTTGGGTATCTTCGGCATCCTCCGCGTCTTCCTCATTCTATCTCCAGGTTGCTCAGAGTGCCTGCAAGGCGGCAGCGCAGTGTGCACGCACCTGATCGATCCTCCGCTGGATGATGAGCCGGCCCTTTCCCGCGGGCACGAGCTTCTCGAACACCTCCTCAAAATTGCGTGCCACCTGCTTGAACGTGCGCTCAATCGCCTCATCCTTGCGCTGATCGAGCACCTGCACGAGTTCCTCGATCGACTCGGCCGACTTGTCGAGCTCCTCGCGTCGCGCAAGCAGCTGGTCGCGCTGCTTCGTGAAATTGTTGTACTGCTCGAACGCCTTCTTATTGACATGTGCGAACTTCTTGAGACCTTCGTTCACCGTATGCAGCTTCTTCATCAACTGGGGATGTGTCAGACCATGTATATGAGTACCACACGTAAATGTACGCACCCTGTCGAGCTTCTCGTTCGTGTACTTCTCGAACGCCTCCTCAGGGAGGACACCTAGATCACGGATGTTGCGATTACACTCGTCCTTGCGGTTGAGGAGCATCTGCTTCTTGGCCAAGTACCGTTCCGTGTTCTTCTGTTGTTTGGAGATTCCACGGCCGTCTTCAGTCTGTTGGTTCTGCAGGTTCTCCAGAGATGTACGCTGTTCCTGCAGCTGCGCATTGAGCTTCTCGGCCTCTTTCTCCATGTCTACATATGAATGTCAACATAATACTAGTTTCGCCGGAGAGTTCACTTATCACCTTGCAACTTCTTTGTCAAGCTGCTGATGTTCGCATTCAGTGACCGAAGATCGCGGCTGCGTGCCTCCAATGTCTCCTCGGAGGAAGCATCTCCAACCTCCGCGGTGCCCAAAGAGTCAATCTTTTCGTGCAGCTCTTCTCTACGCCGTCGCAAACTCTCGTTGAGTTCGATCTCAAGCATATTTTTGCGACTGCCAACCTGCAAGGCAGATTGAATTAATGTCTTGAGGAAAGTGTGTAGTCTGCGTACCTCGTTCTTCTTCTTGCCCAGATCCACTAGCTTTCTACGCCGCTGCTCAATCTCCTTGCCTAGTTCCTCGATCTGCGCCTCTTCCTGCGCAGTCAGGCCACGTGCCATGGGACTAGCGAGCTCAACTTGCAAGCTCTGGAACCTCGCGTCAAGACTGCTTAACTCCGACTCCAAGTCCCCGATGTCGTTCTCCAGCTTTGCAATGCGTTCTGTCAGTCTTTCCTTCTCTCGGCCGAGTGCGGATATCTCCTCGGTGAGCGTTTCACGCGTATTCCGTGACTGGCTCTGCTGGTTCGCTAGAATCTGCAGTTTGCCAGCTACTCTGGTGATTTCTTGCTCCGTCGTCAGGATGGCCTTTTTGACTTCCTGCAATCTCTGGTCATCCGTGGAGTGCTTGGCCTTCCAGTTCGTGACGTTCTTGATAGCTTCAATGCGCGACCGTCGCACATCATGGTATCCTCCTGTGAGAGCGCCCTTGCGATCCACTTTATCGCCATCAAGCGTAATCGTATTGATCCCGTGGCTCTTCACATAGGCAGTCGCGATGGTGAGGTCTCTGCAGACGCATGTCTTGCCGAAGACTTGCTCGAACGCCTTGACATGAGCGTTGTCGAAGCGGAGCTTCTCTAGCAGCGGGATGGCATCCTGAGCATTAGGTTTGGGAGGCACCTTGGGCTTGAGACGATTCAGTGGCATGAATGTTACTCTACCCGTCTTTTCTTTCATCATGATATCTAGGACCTTTGAGGCTGTTTGATCCGTGTCGACAACCACATGGAACAAACTTAATCTCGTTGAGAACGAATGCACTTTACTACTAATATGGTCTCACTGACCTGTTTCCGGCTGTCAATTCCACAGCGGTGTTGAACTTCTCATCTGTAACCTCGAAAAGCCTATACAGCGGTCCGTAGACACCGTCTATGTTGTATCGCTCGGCGATCTTGTCAATGGCACGCAGTCCACTGCCGGTGTCCTGTCAAGTTTTTCAATTCTGAGCATATTGTGGTCCGTAATGTAGAATGGCAGACCTTATCCATCATGCTGGCCAACGCTCGTTCAGCCGACCTCAGCTCATCAGCAGCATGAGCTACCAAACTGTCCAGCTTCGTATCCTCCCTCCATAGACTCTTTCGCTTCTCGATCAGGTCGGCTTCATTGTCCTTCAAAAGGGCAGCCTGCTCGGCTACTTCCTTCGCGCGCTGACGTTCTGCTTCAATCCTCTCGCGAGCGTTCTCCATTCTGGTCTCAACTTCTTCCAAGGACTCCTTAGCGCTCTGAATTTGCGCTTGAGCATCCTCCATCGCCGAGGCCTGCGATGTACGATAGGAATCGATTGACGCGACCTCTCGTCTGAGAAACTGGTCGCGCTCCGCTTTCGTTCTATATCGGTTGAGACGCCCACGCTTCGAATACAAGGCCTCGAGTTGCGCATTGACCTCGTCCAAACGATGCTTTTCCTCGTTTTCTTGCGCTCGGTAGGTCTCCCAATCGGGTAGTAGCTTTGCCAGCGCCGCATCCTTTTTTTGGATCTGAGCCTCGATACTGACAAGCTCCTCTTCGAACTCTCCCCGTTTTCCTCCTGCGCGTTCAGCGGCAAGGCGGAGGTCCGCAAGCGTACATTCAAGTTCTGTTCTGGCGCGGACAAGATCCGTCAACTCAGATTGGGTACCTTGCCGTGTCAATGAGAGAGTGGTCAGGCTATTTTTAGTACGAGATATTGATTGTTCGAGATCCTACTAGACACGTCAGGGCGCACACACTCAAAAACGAAGCATATAGCTTACCTGAGCCTTTTTCTCTCGGTCGTTGTACTCCTCACGCCGTACATTGGCGCTGTGCACCTCTCCTCTGCGTTCTTCCTCGATCTCTTCTAGAGCTTCGGTCACCTCCTCCAATTCGCGCTGGTACAAAGCGTATTCCAGACACCGTCGTTCCTTGTCTTTCTTCTGGAATTCCTTGAGCTCTTCTTTCTCTTCTTCGAGCTCCGCGAGTCTTGAGTCAATGTAGTCGAGCAGTTCATTGATCTTGGTGCGCTTCGCATCTGTTTCTGACATGATACGCAGTGATTCGGCGCGCCGTTGCTCGTACACTTTAGTACCTGCCACCTCTTTCAGCAATGCCAAGCGCTCATGATCTTTGGCATTTGTGAGGGCTGTGATCTACGAAAGGATACCAATGGGTGACATAGCATGCAAACCATCATCAGCCGGCCAGCTGATCGCGGAATCGACGAAGACGCTCACCCTGCCCTGTGGCACGATGTAGTATGGATTGCTCTTGCTGAAACCTGCGCTTTCAAGAAGATTCATAACATCCGCTTTGCTTGCACTTTTCTTGTCCAGACTGTATTCGTCCTTCTTCAAGCCGATGGTACGGCGGAGAATGACCTCATCACGGCCCGTAGGGAAGCGGTTGTCCGAGTTATCAAAGACAATCTCCACTGGGAGAAAGCATGATGGAGGTCACCTCACCACATTACAAGCACACGTACCATATGCGGACAAAGTAGTGGTAACAGACACTCCCTCGTGCAAGAGAGACTGTCGCTCTTCGCGCGACATGGAAGTGTAAGCATCGGACAGTACAAAGCGGATGGCTGTATGAGATTTAGCAACTTGTGACGAGGTGATCCAAAACAACTGAACGTACCTGCGAAGAAGTTGCTCTTTCCGGAGCCATTCCTCCCAACCACTACGTTGTGCCTCGGGGAGAAAGGTTCGATTTGAGTCTGATCACGGTCTATCACGGTATAAGAACACTTTGAATCAATTTCATTACTCAAAGAGAATGAGCGGAGAATGCTCGTTACATGACTTGAAGCCCTGGATCGTGAGGGTCTTGATATACATGATTAAACCGGGAACACTTCGAACTCGACAACCTTGGGGCTCCGGACAACTTTGAAGTCCACACTCTCGTGCAATACTTAGCGCCCCTAGGAACGAGCACAGGAAGATGGCGAGATGAGCAGGGTCGACTAGTGAGACGGAGAAACCGAGGTCATGGTCATGGAGGCGCGTTAGCCCACGGTCACGAACGCGTGACAGTCGCGCCCGTCACACGCTCAGATCTGGCTAGGAACGAAATATTTGTAAGCAAGATCCGCTTCAGTTGCTCTTCGCCTCCTTGATTGCCGTGCGCTCTGACTATGTGGCCCTCATGTTTATGCAAAGAGCTGGTGCAACCTCTCCGCTGGACGTGTCGGCACTCATACTCAACCTCAAGTTCCATTCCACCGTTACCCCCTCTCCCTGAATGGCGTACTCTTTTCAACTCATCAAATCAATTGAAGGATCATGACCGAGTTTCCTTGAAAAACCAGGACACTGCCAGGGCTGTTGTCCAATCATTTATGTCCGCTAAGAATGAAGCAGCGGGCAAAGGCAAGATTATTATTGAGGCTTTCCCCGGTCAGCAATATCCTGTCTGCGATGTCGAAATATACTTAATTACGATATCAGGGCCCGGCGCCATCTCAAGAGCGTTGCTTGAGCTGCCTAAGAGTGAAATTCATAAGCTTATCATTCTTGAAGACCATCCGGAGTACTTGAAGTACCTGATGGTCCGTCTACTATCCATTGACTCTTGTGCCTCGCAATTTCCTGAACTTTTGCCTGTATAGCCATTGCAAGAGGCCGACCCGCGTGTGAAGGTCGTCCCTCTATCGGGCTTCGATTGGGACACATATTCTCACATCGAGGACGCAGGACTTCTCCAAGACGTCGAGGCTGTACCTTGGGAAGGCGGTCGTGCGCTTCAAATTGTTCCGCGTTGTAGCATTTGCACTTACATCCATTATCATGTAGACCATCCTCAGCTACATTTCATAAGCCAGCTGCAGGCTACGGTCAAGGGCGAGCAACTCATAGCACAGCTCTTCAGATGCATACCGGACCGCTCTTGGCTCTTCAAATATGGAAGAATTCCAATGAGTTTCGTACTCAGTGAATGGGTCTGGAAGGTGCGCTTCTAATGTTTACGATAGAACTATATCCAGCTGACTATCTTCGACGCAGAGAATATCCGCCGAGGAATCAAATGTGCAACGGTGCAAGCTATCTGTGATCGCTAAAGCCACTGCCACATGCAAATTGACGATGAACCCAGAAGCTCTCACTCCTTACAACGATCACTTTCATCCTGAAGTCGCAATCGCAAAGACGGCCGCTCGTGAAACCCGAAAACCGGGCTATCCACTCGTTGCGATGAACATTATTCCGCATGCGAAACAGGTACAAGCTGTGACTCTCTTGATTCATGGTCCATCTCATCCATAAACACACCGCTTGTAGATCATCGCTTCCGGCATGCTTGAAAAATGGGATTACTGTCTTCGACGCCTGTTTGTGCTCAAATCTACTCCGCTGAAGAAGGCCATAAAGTCTGTGTATTCCACCTCGTAAAACGTCAGTGTCGACATGATGCTCAACGGTATTGTAGTTCTCTCGCTCCTGGTGCTGCGACGCTTCTGAAGGTACTCCAAGATCCGTCCCTGCCTCCAGAAGAGCAGGTAGATATCAACAAGGCACCGCGCGATCTGAGCCTTGCCGACTGGGCCTTGATAGTCCGTGCATTCGATAACTGGCCTTTCGCACCTCAGGTCAGTTGCTGTTACGAAGCGCGCTTATGATAGTCTAACTCGCCCCATTGCGACAGGACTTGATGATCACTGATGCCTTCAAGAAGCAGAACGTCACCAGAATGGTTTTGTAATGTAGAGCGCGGAGCACTTCACAATGTTAAGGTGGGGGCTGAACGCTGTGACTGGTATTGCGCATCGTACAAATACAACTATTCAGGATTAACCGCGCAGCTTCAACTGGCAATGGTCTCAATTATGCTCGTCTCACGTACGGGCGAAGCCGGCCAGTCAATATGTTCTGAACTTTCTATTTCCTGCATGAATGATGAGTATGTGCGCAGGCATGGCTTTCCGTTTACGTACCTGCTCTACAATCTCCGCGCTCATCATCTCCATCGTCTGTCCGCCTGCATCTGCTGGCTGATACATGATGATGTCCGTCTCCTGACCGTCAGTTGTCATCGTCTGCGATTGCTCAGCCACCTCAGTATCTTGCGATTCCTGCGTGTCACCGTTGTCTATCTTCTCTGTCGACACTTTCTTGTCACTGGCGGCAGCGAATGGCAGCCCAAACAGCGTGGTCTGTCGTCCTGTGTTCTTCTTCTCTTTTGTCTTGCCCTTCGCTGGTGGCAACCCTAAGTTTGCGCATCAGTGCAACGTCGTCAATTTCAAGCAAATTTTCCACGCATACGTTTCGCCTTCCCTGACTCAGCCGCATCAACTTTGTTGAAGAAACTCTCGTTCTTGTGTAACGACTTATGCGTCTCTGTGCTCTTTGCAAACAGATTGTGGGTTGTGTCGTTCCCAGATTTACGTGCAAACGGATTTCCTCCTGAGAAGTCATGAGCGATAGTTCCAAAGGTGTAAGCGCGAAATCAAGACTCACTGGGCCGTGCTGCCGCTGTCTTGACCGTGGCCGCTATCTCATCAAGGTTGCGTCTTTTCGACGAGCTATCAGCCCCCAGAGGCTGGAACTCTCTCGCGGGCTCGTCTTCTTCGCTGCTGCGCTTTCTCTTGCTACTCGGCGATGACCATGAATCATCAACGCCACCATCATTTTCGATGAGCGACGACCCGAACGCGCTGTAATTCTCAGTAAACGAAGCACTTGCAGGTTCAATAACAGGTGTTGCGCGTTCCAAGCCTGGGCGGTGCTTCGGCGAAGGGGGCTTAAAGTCCTGAAAGGCCCTCGGCCGTGACGGCTTCGTAGGCATCTTCACTGTGGCAGGCACAGGTAAGAACTCCTTCGCGCGCTGCCGTCGTCCATCGCGGGAATTTGCGAGAAGATCTGTAGCCTCCCGCTCTTCCTTGAGGGCTCCCATCTTCTCCTGAAGGCCAACAAGGTGATAGAACGCGGCGACCTTGATCGCCATGTCGAACGACGAGGTATGGTGCAGCAGCCGCGTGAGGTCTACCGCGCGCGTCAGCCGGTCATTCTTGCATGCGAGCTGGATGAGCTGCACCAGTTCTTTGTCAAGCGCGAGTTCGCGTCGGAAGATGTCATCGGTGGTGAGCTCGTCGCCGAGGCCGTCGCGCAGGATGTCGAGCATCATGCTCTCGCGAGCGAAGCTGCGAGCTTTGAGTAAGTGCTCTTCTGAGAAGAACGACGCAGTGGCACTTACTGCTCTTCCAAGGGTGCCTCCTTGGGGTCTAAATGATGGAAGGGTAACCGTAGAGGCAACTCCTGGATCAACGGTCTTGGGAACCCAGGGTGTTCTTGCCGTCCCTGCAGAAACAGTTTGAGATGCACTTGTAACACCAGAATCCCATACATACCTTCAAAATGAGACACATTAAGTTGTCTGCAGCCACTCCGATAGGCCAGTACGACTCCTGCTTGCCCTCTCGTCGTTCCAGTAAATTTGTATCGAGTACACGTGTCCATGTTGCAGAGAACGGAGCCCGATATCGGGGCATTATATTCAAAATGCCAGCCGAGTCGTATATTGCCGGGGCCTGTGAAAACTTCATGGGTACCATAACCTGGAGAGGTAGCTATAAGCACTTACGCCTTCCTCTGTGATCCCAATCCATTTCAGAGTACATTTCTTTGGAATGGGGAGTGTGTCCTTCTGTAGCAGACAGAAGTCATCGAATTTGATCAGCCGCCCGGTAAGGTTCTGCGAGCCTATGCGACGCGTAATTCCAAAGTCAGTCGTGCTACCCAGCTACTATCATTGCCACGCACCATCCATCGTCGTTGCTCCGTCCCGATGCACGACAAACACCCACTCAGGGCCCGCGACCATCGTCACGAAGTCGCCCTGCAAGCTCAAACACTGTCTTTCGATGCCCGTGCCCGTCATAAAGATCAGCTCATTCGCACTCGTCGCGATGACGACGTTGCCATTGCCCTGCAGGTCAGAGTCAAAGTCCCGGCGCGAGCCCGAGGAGGGCGCTCCGCCCGCGGCCACACCGAGAACCCTGGTGCCCTTCGGGAGTTCATACGTCCATTCGCCCTGGGTGGCCCAGGTGCCGTACGGCTTGAACGTGACACGCGCAGGGTGCTCCTGTTCTGGACGACACGCGTACACTGCACCGCGTTCTCCTGCGGGACCATTTGCTTGATGAGATAATGATTTCTGGCGATGTGGGATAATGGCTTACCAAGGGACGCGAGATCATACTTGAAATGGTCGGTGAAGTGGTACCCCTTCCGGGCGGACTTGTCGTGAAACTCAACATTCACTATATGATGCGTGTCTTGGTCGGTAACTTCAATTACGCCAATCATATTATACACTGAGGCGCCTGTCATTCTCCCGTAGATAGAGTAATATGCACGTAGACTCACCTAAATATCCTTTCTTATTCTCCATGGGCGTCGAACCAGGTTGGAAGGGCGGCTGAGCTTTCGTAACGCTCACTAAACGTAGAATGAAGTCAGGACGCTTCAAGACCAGAATGCGAAATTAACAGCTCACCCATCTCTTTCACACCATCCTTTCCACTCCATTTCTTCTCCTCACTGTCATCGTCCATCGCACCACCTAGATCGTCCAAAATCCAGTCATCATTCTCATAATCCACCTCAACAGTCTCGTTCACATCGAGCTCGTCATCCTTGGCCTTTTCGGCATCTGCCTCGTCATCAAACAGCATTGGAATTGCCTTCCGCTTGATAGGGACAGTCATGGATGCTGTGCCTGGAGCCAGCTTCACGGGATCAGGCGCGGTTGCGGGGATCGGTTCGGCCCAGCGGGTAAGCACACCGTCCATATCGGTCCATGCAAGGAGGTTTTGTGATGGTGAGAAAGCCATCTGAGTGATGATGGCGGTTTGTTTGCCATCGTATCTGGATTAACAAGACGTTAATTGGCATATATCACGGACATACAAGGACAGATGCTGGCCTATAGAGGAGCCTCCGCGTCTCCGTTGACCAGATGAATACTCCTGCCTTGCAAGCGCAGGCGAGATAGACCCCATTGTTTGAGAGCGCAAGCGCTGTGATTGCGCCGGAGAGTGCATCATCAACAAACGTAGAGGATTTGGTCCAGTCGCTGCGGGAGATCGTGATGATTTCTGAAAGATTGTCGTGCTCAGCTGACAATCCCCTTGACTCGGATTGAGGTAGTGACGTACCGTGTGCACGAGTCGCAACGAAGAAGTACTGGCCCGACGTATGCCAGATAGCAGAACAATCATGAGCAAATTCTTCAGAACTGCTACTAACGTTACTCGCGCTCCAAGCAGAGCGTTATGACCACGTACTCTGCGTTCGCTACCGCGGGGATTATACCCTCGATGGCTTTCTCCTCCTTGCATTGGCCTTCTGACACGTCCCATATGATGATCTTGCCATCTGCTCCGCATGTGGTCTGCAAGGCATGAGAAAGGACACGAGACTATGGTGAAAACCGCGCACCAGGAGAGAACCTGATGGATGCCATGTGGCTTTGCGCACGGCCTTCGTGTGGCCACCGAGTACAGAGATGTTCGTGGTGTCCTCGATATCAATTACCTTTACTGTCGGTTCACTGCACATAAGTTGAATATGACGAGCCAAGCTAAAGATCTCGAAACTCACTCGGACGTGACGGCGATGCGCGCGCTCTGTGGGTCGACGGCAACACAACGAATGGGGACACCAATCGCATTAGTAACCAGAGCCTCAAATTCCGTCTTCCCATATGCATATCTCCTGACTTCTGAATCGGAACTCCCAGAGAACCAGTATCCTCGCTAAACGCCCGGTCAGAGCTGTGTGGCGAACGCACAACGCAGAGCTTGCATACCCCTGTGGTGAGAGCGGTGATGCCTTCTGCAGCATCAATAGCAGCATCGGGTTCTTGGTTTGCACCGAGATCTGTGCGCCAGATGCGTACTAGAGAATCGATTCCGCCCGTGTAGACGCGTCTTCGTGTCGGCAAAGGATGAGCGACGGTCCACAAGTCAAGAAATCGACACGTACGAGCCATCTCTAGCAAATGCGATGCAGGTGCATCCAGGTTGGTGAGCTGAGTTGACGAATGCTTTCGCGGACATGGCTGGGATAGGATGAGAGGGATGGGTTACGTGACGCATGGACGCGCGATGAGACGCGTCTCATAACGCGTCTCGTAACGCATTTCATGTGACTTGTCACGGATCCGTCACGCACGCCCTCATGACCGGAGAGCGCCGCGGCAGCTCTCTCCCACTTCCACCGCGAGTCTACTCACCGTTTGCTTCTCTCTACGTCTCGGCTTCACGGTAGAACATAAATCCCATTTCTATCTGGATGCATATGCTGGCACAGAGGCTGCGGCGAAAGCCCGGGCCGCTTCCAGCGAAGTGATATGATAGAGCCAAGCTAGGCCTGACGTCCAACGGACCGGCGCAGAGCTCCTGACCTTCCTCCCCCGGGAGCCTTCCACATAAATGAGCGCGACCGTGGGTTTTCCTCGCCGAATGCTCTGCTCAGCGCACAGATGTCCAACTTTGCAAACACGACGCCCTTCGCCTCCAACCCACTGGAGACGAAGGATGACCTCGCGAGGTACCTCGTCGGCATCCTCGATCCTCTCGCAGCCCATACATCCCCGGGATGCGCACGTATCCACCTTGGATACACTGGCACACACTACGACGAGGCTGCTGCACAGCTCGAAGGTTTCTCGCGTCCCATCTGGGGTCTTGCCTCCCTCCTCGCCGGGGGAGGGACGTACGATGGTACACAGCGGTGGCTGAAGGGCTTCGCCAGTGGGGCCAATTCCGATCATGAGGAGTTTTGGGGTAACATGAACGATAAAGACCAGCGGATGGTGGAGTGCTCTGCTATCGGATTCTCTCTTGCTGTGGCAAAGCAGCAATTATGGGACCCATTGCCTCCCGAGGGCAAGGCCAATCTGGAGACTTGGTTAGGCGGTATGAACGACAAGGAAATGCCGAACACGAATTGGCTCTGGTTCAGGGTACGTGGAACTATGCCGTCTTAGCTTCTTGTATCTGATAGTCAGCAGGTGTTCACCAATCTCGGACTGTCCAAAGTCGGTTCGTCAAAGTTCGATGCCAAACGCATGAAGGCAGATCTCGACCACCTTGACACATTCTATATCGGGGATGGCTGGTCGCGAGATGGGCCAGAGGGTGTTGTGCAACTGGACTATTATTCGTCTTCCTTTGCCATCCAGTACGCGCAACTTGTCTACTCAAAGTTGGGGCAACAGGAGGACCCCATTCGTTGTGAAGAGTTCAGAAACCGTGCACGGAAGTTTGCGTTGGACTTCGTTCACTACTTCGATCCGGAAGGTCAGTTCGCTGAACGTCATCTCGACTGCTTTTGCTGAACTCAATACGACAGGTCGCGCCATTCCATTCGGCAGAAGTCTGACTTACCGCTTCGCCATGTCCTCGTTCTGGGGCGCCTTAGCCTTTGCTGATGTTGATCTGCCTGCTCCTCTGACGTGGGGAGTGGTGAAGGGCCTCCAGTTGCGAAACATCCGGTTCTGGGCGAGGCAGCCCGGAGCATACTACATGGACGGAACCTTCACTATTGGATACTGCTATCCAAACCTCAACATGACCGAGGTATCTCCTCACTGCCTTTTCCCCCTGCCATTGTGGGGTGTTGACGGCCACTTATAGAACTATAATTCCCCGGGGAGCCCATATTGGTGCTGCAAGTCGTTCATCGCCCTCTCTCTACCGCTCTTCCATCCATTCTGGGCATCAGCAGAAGAGCCCTACCCGGCGGTTCTCCTCAACATAGCTAAGCCACTTTGTAAACCGTTCCACATTGCCTGCAATCTCGGCGGCCACACCTTCATCCTCTCATCTGGGCAGCAATGTTCGTACCCCGTCAAGCAGAGTGCGGCCAAGTACGGCAAATTTGCATACTCATCCGCGTTCGGATACAGCGTGCCGTCGGGGAGCCTCACCCTTGAGGAGCACGCGGGGGATAGTGCCCTTTCGCTAAGCGAGGATGGCGGCGAGGTGTGGAAGCTGCGGCGGGTTACGCGCGAGGCGCACTTCGAGCGTGGCGCCGACAGCCGCAGCTGGTTGCGCTCGCTGTGGTATCCCTGGAAGGACGTCACAGTGGAGACATGGCTCGTTCCACCGTCGCCGGGTGCGCCGTTGTGGCATCTGCGCGTGCACCGTATCCGCTCTGCCCGCGCGCTACTCTCCGCCGAGGGCGCGTGGGCAATATACGGCCAGCGCAGGGACGACCGCGCGTTGGAGCTTGTGTCAAATGGATCATTCGGGACGCTCGAGAGTGATGCAGAAGCTAGGGCGGTGTCGAAGGCGGGCGCGACGGGGATTGCGGAATTGGGCAAAAAGGTTGGAAGGACGGGGAAGGTGATGCGCACGGACGCGAACACGAACCTGATGGTTCCGCGTGCCGTAATGCCAACGCTAATGGGTGAGCATGAGGCGAGCGAGAAGGATTATTGGCTGGTGACGGGTGTATTTGGTGTACCAAGTCCGGCCGGTCAGGAGGGCCCGCCTGCGGGATGGGAGGCGGAGTGGACCAAGCGACCAAGTATTCCGCAAGAGATTGCTGCTCTCATGCCGTGAATAATTGATCAGGGAACTCACAAAATGTAGTCGTCATTGTGCGCGTGCGCATGCGCATAACAGCTTCTATCATTCCGATCAGGGCGAAACGGCTGCAGTCACTACACACTGCGCGAACTTGCATAGTTGTCTGATCTGCTGTCGACGACCGAGTTCAGGATTCTGCGTTCTGATTAAAACCATACTTTTTAACGCTATATTTCTATGAAATTACCTGGGCTGCAGGAAGGACTGCTGTAGTCTGTATTGCCTGTAGGCTTCGAGACTGGAGAGCTGCTTTGCCTGCGACGCGGTCCCGTGACCTGTTGGTTCAAACGCGTTCGCGGTTGTGGCGGCCGGCAACGTCATCTGAGTCTGAAACCATGGTTGAACGCGGCTGACAGTGAGCCTCTTGTTTGTCCGACAAATAATTCATGCCTCCCAGCTCGTACAAATGCCCTCTCCTCGGTTCTCCCTCTTCCTTCATCTTCTACCTTTTGTTTCTTGCTTTCGGTTACAGGTAGCGGGCTTGTCGCGTCCACTGGGTGAGCAACGTCCTTTATTTCGTCGCCATCTACTCACATTATCCATTCATGATGCCATCTCCATTGCAGCGCCGTTAAGGTTGCCAGTTCACGTCCTTGCTCAAGATCAGGTTAGCCCCCTTCTCTATGAGGTCGTCACCGCAGCTGATTATCCTTTTACAGTTCTCCGCCTTGGGTTGAAGTGACCAAGAGCGGGACTCCCCTCGGTGTTGACGCGCTTGAGGTAGGTGGTGTGCGCTGGTCGCCGTCGTCTGGAGGGGAGGTGCTCGCTAGCCGGGTGTCTGTTCTCGCGTGTCGTGGGTTCAATATCCGCGGGACCGCGATAGGTCCGTTGTCCTTTTTTTCTTCTTTTTTGTTTTATTCTTTTTTCTTCATGATGCTGCATTTGGATTGTCGAGAGGATGGGGGAGAGCGGGGAGAGGATGGGAGGGGGTCTCGAGGGAAGGGCCGTTGCTCGCACTTGTCGAGCTCGGTCCTGGCGCAGGCCTTTTCGTGGCCCTCGGGATAAGTACCCGACCTGGTCGACGGGTCGGGGAAACCAACATGCGCCTGAAACAACATTAATGCGATGCTTTGATAATGCTTTGAATGCTCGCGCAAGTTGCGCCTCTGTTCGCCATGTGGGCTAGAGGATAGAGCGCGTCGTGTGGCCCAACGTCGGGTTGAATGTCAAGCAGAGTCCCAAGGACATGTCTCTTGTCAGCCGTGGCATCGAGAGGCGATAGCCTCCATCCCATGCCGGTGTTGGGCTCTGACTGTACAGATCGGGATAGAAACCCCGGCTGTGCAACAGATGAATGAATATTTGCAACGTGTTCGTTCTTGCATACTGAATCTATAGAAAATATTGCAATATCAATATCTTGTACGATGTATCCGTCCGTCCATGCCTGTCTTAACGATGTCGCAGCGATGTCGCAGTATACCTCTCCGACCGACGTATAACAGTTGTCACGATGATTTCAATCGTCGCTCTTGTGCTGATGTCGTTCATCGGTTTCGGGGCCATTGCTCATTGAACCTCTACCAACTCCAAGATCTTCCTCGCCCAGAGCTCCGGACATCGCTCTCGCACATCCGCCTCCAACGCCCGCCCCTCTCCCCTGCCCTCGATCCTCAGCATCCTCAACCTCCCAAATCCACCATGACCGCCTTCGCCCACCGGCACTGCACCCAGCACCCGGGCGACCTCCTCCCAGTCCAGCGCACTCAGATCCGCAAACCTCGGCGTCCTGAGCACGCGCACGCCGCACTCCGCATCGAGCGCCCTCAAGTCCATCACATCAATGTCATCGACGGTAAGGCCGAGCGTGATCGTGTGCAGGGTTGAGGCAGAGCCTGCGAGCTGCGCGAGGAGTGTGGGCACCCAGGGCAGACTGCGGTTCGCGGGCACGCACATCTCGCGGAGGGCGAGGCGGAGGGTGCACGTGTGCAGAGAGACGCAGGGAGAGAGCGTGAAGGAGATCGGTAGGAAGATGCCTACGAGTGCGGATGTGGGTAGTGCCGGAAGGGGACGTCAGGATGAAGTGATAAAGAAAAGAGTAGGTGACACGTACGGTCCAACGCCTCGTCCGCATCGACCTGCAGCTCCAGATATTTGAGAGATGGCCCAAGCTGTTCGAGCATGTCTTGCAGCAGGTCAAGTGGATCGTCTGACTTCACGCAATACACGAGACTCTCTATGTGCACATCCTCTGCCGTTCGCAGCCAAGAGAACAGTGCCTTCAGCATGCCCGTCAGCGGACCAGTGAACCTCAGCGCTCTGAGCTTTTTGGGAGGCGAAGGCGGTTGAAGCAGAGGTAAAGGCTGGGGCTGGGACTTGTCGAATGCCGCAGCGAGCGATCGGAGCTGGGGAAAGGACGCAACGAGTTCGACGAGGTCCCGGTACGACGCGAACGCACACGCGTCGATCTCTAAGCTCTTCAAGCCTTCCAAGTTCTGCACCGTTGCTCGATACAACGCGTCCTCCATCCTCATCTGCACCAGCGCGAGCGCGCCCACGCACGGCAGCGCTGCGAAGAACGTATCGAGGGCATCGTCGTCGCTCCACGCACGGGAGACGTTCGAGTGGCTTACCAGACAGAGGTCGCGGACGGCGAATCCGAGGGCGGGGGAGGCAAAGAGGAGCGCAGAGAAGGAGAGGTAGGACTCGCGGGTGAGGATGAGACTATGGAAGCGGTGCAGACGGGAGGCTGGGAGGCAGGCACGAGAGATGAGAGAGGCGGCGGTGAGGGAGGGGCGGTCATCGTGCAAATGGTCTGTGATACGGTCCCAGAGCTCAGGAGGGACAGCTGGGACGGGCATTGTGCTCTATCGTGGTCGACCTGAACGATGGAGGAGCCGAATGAGCGTGAGACATCCAACTCGCCGCCATGGATGATCGTCGCGATTGTAAGAAATTCTGACACTGAACCCGTCGCTGTCTTAGTACATGCCAATGCAGCAGATATGGGCTGCGATAGCTGAGCAGATTTCTGAGGCGCATGCAGCTGGAGGGTAGGGGGTTGGCACTACGCAAGCTGCGATATAATCACGGCCCATGGGTTGTTATAAAGGACGATGGGCGGGACAACTAAAACAACACGCAATGGCATTTCGCCTCGTTAGCTATATATGCACTGCAAACCACGACCGCTTTCTGTGAAGTTGCAGCGAAGAGCAGATGCCTTTTGATGAGACGCGGTCCCGTGACCTTGTCACGGTTTTTCCGCGCCATAAGTCTCAAGCGCCCACGGACCATTATTTATCCACCTAGTTACCATATATAGTATGTACCACTACGCCTCCACGTGTATATCCTAGTATACCCACGCCACGCGGACATCCCTCGGACAAGTATCAGTCACGTGACCCTACGTCATAGTGACATCATAGGTCTGGACTCCATAGACACTCCTAGACTTAGACGGACTCCACTAGACCCGGGCACGCCATAGTACGCCATAATGATGTATTATTACAAACCTAGGGTACGCAGGGTCTTACACCCAGTACCAGGGGTCTGGCCCCTCTTGTATATATACCCGCTCGAGCTGAGGCCTACCCCTCAGTTTCGAGTTGGTCTTTACTCCTCCACTTAAGCTAAAGATCCCTGACGGGATAGGCGAGAGCGGACCCAGGAGTTCCTGAGATCCTTCACATAACTCGAAACTACTCTCTATAAGTCTGTGGGCACCGGTTGACGCCTCAGACTGTCCTCTCACTGTCAATCAACTCCATCCTCATCGTGCCCAGTCAGGGCTTCTTCCCACATTCCTCGGGCTTAGCTGCGCCCTGCTGAACCTCTTCGGTGAAGCGAATACGCGGATTGTTAGTCAGGATACATAGGCCCTAAACCAGCCTCCTGCGAAAGTGGGCGACATACTACAGTCCCAAATCTTGCCGCGACCCCAGGCGTAAGGGGACTTGCCAGTTGAAACCTAGTGGTTAAAACCGCATTAGGGCTGTCAAGAAGGGCCAGGAGTGCCTGTTGACGTCAGCACCACTAGGAGCAGGGGACGCAGTACTCCTTAAAAGGGTACCACTATCATTGTCTAATCCGTCGGGGACCCTGTCTGGTCTGGCTACTGTCTGGCCCATAGACCCTGTAGAGGCGTGTCCTTGAAGCGTGGGGCTGCTAGTCCATATAAACTATCCTCGGCCTTGCTGCCGTGCTATACGGAGGATTTATCCTCTAACGTCGCCATCCTAGCCACCAGGTCTAGGGGTAGCAGACGTAACAACCGCAGACAAGGGAGAACTTGCGGGAGGAACGAGTCACCTTTGAAAAGGCTCTGAAGCTGTAAATCAGCAACACTTCTGGACCGCTTCGGCGAGACCTGCACAACCTCGAGTAGCGAGGGAATAAACCTACTTGCTCAGTGCTAAAGAGGCACCAGACGCGTATTCAACCCCTGCGCAGTTCTGACTTACTTAGGGGTTTAGTTACCAGTACATACGTAGACAAATAGTCGTCTGGTGTGGGACGAACTCTCGGAAAGCTCTGCTGGAACGGCAGGTGGACCAAGGTTACATCTCTTCAGAGGTAGTTGGACACTGGTGGTGAAATAATCAAAGACCACAAAGACCCCTCTGCGACTGCGAACCGCACCATTCAGGACTCCGTAGTAACTAGACCTACTAGGAGTAGCAGGACTCTAAAGCTGCGTCTGGGTCATTACGAGGCCTAGTGAAGAACAACTCGTCAAGCACGCGAGTAGATTACAACATCGAATGCAAAGGTTCTCGTTGGAAGGATACACATCCATATACACCGTATCGCCAGGACCAGTAGTGTGGGATCAAACCTACGAGCATATTAGCGTCGTATTCCGGGCAGACTTCATCTACCAACCACACGTCGCCCAAGCAAGTTTTATCCTATACCGCTACCAAGTCGTCATCGACTACTACGAAAGGCTCGAATACCAGCCACATCGTATAGTCCAGGAAGCTCCCAGACAGCTCGAACCAGTCGAAGACGACCAGGAACTATATCACCTCCTGTTCAACGAAGAATACGGTATCTCCTCCGACGAAGAAGAACCTTTCTGAACAGGTCGCCAAAACCCCGACCAGGTACCAACACCGAAAATGGCCGTATCCGAACATTCCGTAGAAGGACACCTGAATCCTGAAGGTACAGATCCCAGGGCACCCTCTCCGTCATCCTTCAACGACACCAACATCCTCGCTCCCACTCCCAGATACTTCATGACACCGGCAATGCTGGAAGCGTTCCCCAGAAGACGGGGGCCTTCGGCACGGCTGACAGACGAATTTGCCACCCTGTACCCCAACGAGCCAAGGACAGGGAGGCGATTCCATCAATGGGAGTACGATATCCGAGCTCGCGATCACTCAGAAGAAGATCGACAGCGATATCGAACGCAACCAGTAGATGTGGTGGCAAGGCACGGAGGAGCAGCACGGGGGCAGGATTACGTCTGGTCAAGTCACGCATCAGGAACTCCGCCAGGGTATGAGCGATACAGGCTCCCCGATAACCGGCAGAGCTACTACTTGGCGCGACCCGGCCTTCCCCCACCAACGGAGGAAACCCCCGGATTTTGGACCCAACCCGTCGATATGCGGCGAGCCTACCAACATCTCCAGGCAGACTACGATCGTCTACGGGGCAGGCTCGACACAGCCCTAAGGGAACTGACGGAAGCACGGGAAGAACGCCTGGCTGTCGAAGCAACCCGGGATCGTCTCATGAGGCAGGTTGGCGAATACGAGGCTGCACGAACGGAGCACGGCAACCAGATCCACAAATTAACAACGGAACTGGAAGGCTTTAAGAAGGCGCTCCGATCCAGCGAAGAAAGGGTAAAGGGTCTAGAAGGGATCAACAAGACCCAAGAAACTCGTATCCAATTGCTGGAGGCTATGCAGCGACCACCGCCCCCTTCCCCCATTCGATCACCTAAGAAACCGGTCGATAAAGGTAAAAGGAGGCAGGATCCGGGTCAACAGGATATTCGGGATTGGGTGAAAGGAGTTAGCGGACCCGCCGGCCCTAGTGGACTCAAGCCGGCACACCAGGCAAACCCTGCGCAGCCGTCCAGTAGGGTGCAGACGCCCCCGATGTCCCCGGCACATTCCTACCAGGGAGATGAGGACGACGAGTTGGCAGGGGCACTATACGCATTCCCCCCGGAGCAACCGGTCCCACCGCCAGATCGGGAACGACGCTCCGCAGCCCCACCGCCAGCATCCTCGGACGAAGTCCACAGAAAGTCGTTCCGAGGACCAAAGGTCAATCTCCCGGAGCCATTCGATGGCACCAAGGCAAAAGCAAAGGCATGGCTTGTCGATGTAATGAACTACATCGTCATGAAGCCCAGCGAGTTCGAAGACGAACAAAGTAAAATTCGCTGGGCAATGTCGTACATCCGAGGCCCACAAATCGACCACTGGAAAGCCTCCCTCCTGGAAAGAATGATGGGAGGCCCACCAGTATACGCCACGCTTCAGGATTTCATCGCGGACTTCAAGAAGATGTACTACCCCGCGAACCCGGAGCTGGAAGGTCAACGGATGCTGCGCAGCATGCAGCAAAGGTACAAGCCTTGGGAGGAATTCGAGGCCGAATGGGAACATTGGGTCAAGGTCTCGGGGTATAAGGATGAGCAGCTGTTGCTCCAATTGCTTAGGACGGCCATGAGAAAGGAACTCTGTGATAGAGTATGGTCGTCCGAAGGAATCAGCCGGGATGTCAATAGCTACAGCCTGTGGAAACAGGTTGCAGCTCGGCTGGACCTTCAACAGCAGCAACAATGGGCATCCACCTTTGAGGACCGAAAGGGCAAGGGGAAAACCAGAGACTCTAAAACCCGGCAAATCCACCAGGAAGAAGGCTCCTCTACGGTAACGGCAAACGCGGTCAGGACAACGGGAAGGGCGCCCATCAGAAATGTCGATGAGGCAGGAAAGGCGGTACCACACAAGGAGACGGTGGGAGTCGAAAACGAACGCGACAAACATCGAAAGTGTGGTACCTGTGGAAAGGAAAGGTCAGAGAAGGGGTCGTGCACGGATATATGGCACACCCACTACTACGACGGAAAGGCGCAGTGCTGGCGCAAAAAGGATGCCCAGCCTGCAGCTCGGGCCAGTACGGTAGAAGAAACCGAGGCCGTACGAGCATTCAAAGCGGCAATTGCGGCCAACCCCGCTCTGCTCAACCAGGCGGGTTTTCAATTCGGCAAGGCTTAAGTGCGCAAGTCTTGCAGGACTCTCGACTCGATACGGACATTTCCATTTCGCCGACCAGTAACGTGCATTCCTCGGTGGTGGAGGCCCAAAAGCCTGAGAAGCGCCCTGGTTTACACGGGTCACCCCTGACCATTAACGGCCATTCCATGGTCACGGAGGTCGCGAGACCTGAGAAGGGCCATGGTTTAGACGGGTCACCAAAAGGTAGGTCCCCAGGGAGAGTCGAGCTGATGGTGGTGGAGGCAAAGCCTGAGAAGCGCCATCAAGCCGTACCTGAAAACACCCTGGAGGGATGTGGGCAGGAGGGTCTAAGCTCAGGAAAGGGAAAATTCAGTACCCCTGATGCAGACGACAGCACACCACCATGCCCTATTGGATCTCGTTTTTCAATTCTTTCATCCCTCGCCTGTACTTCTAGCACTACGTCGGACAATATGGGTACAAGTAGTGGTGCCCACTTTAATGTAACAGTAGTAAGAGCGAAAACGGGGTCTCGGGATGACGGGACCTTAGTGGTGCCTGATCGAGCTCGGCCGGATCAAGAAGCATCGGTGCTTAATTCCGTGAATAGCTCGATTTCTAACATTTCTTCAGTTCCGGATAAT